TCGAACTTATTATCACAACAGGATTCACATTTCGGTACAACCGCACGTTTTGTTTTTTTTTTTTTCTGAGGTCAATCTACAGTCACATTCCAATTCAATTTGATATTTCACTTACTAGATTGATGTGCTGAAAAAACATGTTCACTAGATTGATGTTTTAATTATGCAAAGCTAGATTTCCATAAATTCGTTCAAATGCGATCTATTAAAATGTGATTCTCACTCGTAGTGGATCTCCAACTTTATTTTGCAAAAATTTCCATTTTTCTGGCGAGAGTTAATTCAAATGATATTTATAAGTCTATTGCTAACCTCGACGGGGCCTATTTTATTATTACGTCTTCAACAACATTGTGAAAAAAAAGTAGTCATCTGAAAATACGTTAAAGTGAAGAAGCGCAACGGGAATAAACTGAAATTAAAATTGAGATTCTGATATGGGAGCGAATGTTGCCCGATGTGGTTTGGGTGGACCCATAGAATATGTCGTTGATGCTACACTTGGCTACTACAAAGGTGAAACTCCTGATTTGGGTAGGTGTATGACTGGTGAATTCCCTCATAATCACTCAACCGTTGGTATTCATTACAAGGTTTGCTCGCTTATTCTGAATTTTGATTAAACATCTTACAAATGTAGTGTCTCATTCATTCACTTCGTTGATCCTTAATATTTATTCAGATATATCCGACAAAGGCGGAATGGTCNGATGAGAATAAACTCAAACAGTGGTTGTATGACCGTTATGAAGAAAAGGTAAATAATATCATTTGATTTGTAGCTTATACATGAATAATCCCGTTGAATTTACGATTGAGTGATTTCGTTCGGTCACATAGATTCAAAAGCTCTTAAATGTGATAAGTTATAATCGCTGGTAACCAAATATTTCGAAGTATTAGTAAAGTTAGCAAAATTCTGAAGAATCCTATGAAATTCTGGTATTTTTAGAGCGCCGGAAACTCAAGAGGATGTTAAAATATTGATGGAGAATTGGAAAGATCGTTTTGATATTCATAAATTTGTCGGAGCAGTATTGAATTACAGATTCGTGAATCATTTGAAACGAATTGAATTTCAGGATGATCTGTTAGAATATTATTACACGAAAGGTACATTCCCAGTAAGTGCAAAATCACTTCCGAGGCCCGTTCAGTTTCCATTCAGTCGTTGCGTTGTCGTCGAGATGTTCTGGATCGTGCTCTTTTATGCGCATTATTACGCATGGATAAAACCGTCATTTCTCTTCCTTATGCAGTCGATTTCCTCATTTTTCATCTGAATTCAATTCATTCGTTTTCGGTGTATCTTTGACAATTTTTATTGTTATGTGCAAGGTACACTCAAAGACAGTTTTTTGTTCATTCCATTATTTCGTTATTGTTGATTGTGATTAACATTCAGTAACTCGTTTAATCAAACCAATTTTCATCCTTTCACGTAAGCCTCTAGGAATGTCTCTCTATGTCTGTCACCAGCTCAATCGAGCTTTTCTATTCAGCTGTTGCTGTTTGTCGTTTATGAAATTAATCATCTACAATAAAAATCTGCGAATCGCACTATCGAAAGGTGATGTCTAAGTAAAAATTATAGACATTCACAGGATATACGACAAAAAGACCATGAAGAATTAGTGAATAAAGCCCCATTAAGGTACAAAAAAATTGTATCCGTTATTTAA